GGCCCCTGCACCCGCCCCCAGCCCTTGAGGCCGCTGCCTCCCGCGGGAGCCTCCCCACGGAGACGGCCCGAGCGGGGCACCCGCCCCGTCCCTCCTTCCCACCAGGAAGCACCTGCCTCCAGAGCGGCAGCCCCAGGACGCTCCGTCCCGCCGCCCCGGCCCGCGGAGCCCCCCGGGTGACACCCCAACCCGGCTGGGCTGGCGCCCCCTGCGCCCGCCTACTCACCGGCGAGGAAGAGGCCGGTCTCAGCAGCCCGTCGAGCCCCAGCATCGCAGCGGCAGCGCCGCTCGCTCCCGCGCGCAGAGGCTCCCGCCGGGGCCGGGGCTGCCCGCCAGCCGCAAACCGCCGGAGACTTCTAGCAAAGGGGCAGGATCAGAGCGTCTGGGCACGCTCTCTCTTCCTCCACATTCCTCCTCATCACTAAGCAATGGAAAAAGAAATATGGTTCTGACTCTGMAGTGCCCTCATACCATGAATTTCTGAATCAGTGTTCGGTGCAGGTCCCACTCGGGGGATTTTGGGTGTGTGGGGGCAGAGGGGAAGGAAGGGGATTGTTCAGCCCATGACTCATATTCTGCAGAAGCTGAGAAGAGCAAAAGAGCCTTTTTCAAGGAGATTTTCCAGCCTCTCACAACCCCCAGTGGGGCTGCCCTGCAGCCCCTGCCCCAGGTTTTTCCCAACTGCTGCCTGAGCTCAGCCAGGCTGCGGCAGCCCCACAAGATGCAGCCTGCTCAGCGCTCCGTCAGGGCAGCTGAGGGCCCTGCAGGTGCAGGGGACACAGCACTGCAAAGAGACAGGATGGATCCCGAGAGGGCTCCCGAAAGCCCAGGAGCATGGGCATGACCCAGCATGGACTGTATCAGGTTGTCTGCAGCCAAAACCACCAACCGACCCTGTCAGGGCACCCTCAACCTGCTCAGGCCTGCTAAACCAATCCATCAGACCAGATTTCCTGGAGAGGCAAAGGGAGGATGAGCATTGTCCTTCCTCAGCACACTGGAGCCACCACTAGCCCTACCACAGGGTCTGCTCAGGAGCAGCCCAAATCCAGAGATGCTTGAGAGGAACCAACTGTGCCGCTCAAACCCAGCAGCTCCCAGCTCCCCTGCGCTCCCTCCCTCCTCGAGCGGCTGTCRCAGCTCACTCCTTGCTGCCCCACACACCTCCACTTGTTGCAGCAGCCGCGACTAAGGAACACCATGGGGTGGCTCCTGCCTGCTCCCCAGCGTCTGCAGCACTGTCTCACTCAGGAATATTCTATCCCTATGCATATGCACTATGCGTGTGTTAGTTACACCTTGCTTATCAGGCAGGGCTGCGGGGTCACGATCCGTTTCCTTGTTCCTGGAAGGGCCACAGCAACCTGCCACCGATACGCACAGCACAACCCGCTGCTCGTGCAGAGCAGTGGTGCCCTTCCGTCCACCAGCATGAGAAGAGAGGCCCTGGTTTCCACCTGGTTGTGTGACACGCTCAGTTTTTACCCCCTCCACATCCAGAAGGGAGCCCCTCTTGCCCTCCTTGCATTCACGGGCTGCAGGGCAGCAGCTGGTGCAGGGCAGCACCCCCTACACCGCTGGTACCTGACACATCTCTCCAGAGCTCCAGGTGTGCACACCCTGGCACACACGCACACTGCCTCCCCTGGCCCCTTGCTTGTCTTCAGGCCTTCCTGGGAATCAGGAAAGACGCTTCCAGGCCTGCGTGTTGGCACTGCCCAATGTGCAGGAAGGAGCACCAGCCCTACTGCCATGAGCTGTCCCAAGTGGCACTGGCGCCTTCCCCAGGGCACAACGCTGTCCCAGCCCCCTTCTTGGATGAGCTGGTGAACTGCTGAGCCAGCCTCCCTGTGCCAACCAGACCGCTTCGGTTAAGGGTCAGCCACTGGCAGCAGAGCAGACGAAAGCCGCTGCTTCAGGCCCGCGGTTCCTCCAACGTGTCCTAGGAATGCAGGTGCTATTTTCTTTTCTCCAGCGACAGCAGCTGATTTGCAGAGCTCGCGCCCCGCAGGCAGGAGGAGCGCGGCCGCTGCCAGCCACGTCTGCTCGGGCGCTCAGCGGCCTCCCGAGAGGGCACGGGGAGCACGGGAGGCTGCACAAGTGCAGAGCCGGCCCCGAGCTGCCCTGCTGCACAGCAGAAACGCTCCAGCCATCCAGCTGGCTACGCCTCTAACAGAGCATTTCACGCACATTTCATATCCCCCCGGGCCTGCCACGTCCTGGAAATTACAGACCAAAATTCCTGACCTTGTTTTCTGTGCCCTGCTCCGTCAGAGAAGTCCGGGCAGCATCTGGCAGGGCACGTGTGCAGTCAGCAGAGGCTGCGGCCTCCCCAGCCACCAGCCCTCGGCACAGAGTTTGGGCCACCGCTGTGTCCAGACCCAACCCCAAAATCTCCCTCCTGACCTGCGAGTGGGGCGGAGAGAAACCCCCTTTCCCTGAGTGCTGCTGAGCCGTCACCTTTCCCGTAACACCTGAAAATGTCTCTGCTGCCATCAGGGCACCAAGCTGGGTTTTGCAGCCCTCAGCCATCCCCTGATTTCTGTTCTCCCTCTCTAGGGGCCCGCACATGAGCCGCTTTCTTGTTGCACTATTAAACATCTGCTCCAGATGTGCTCTCTCATGCCGCCAAGCCGCCGGGTTAGTGCCGGCCGGGCTGGCCGCGCTGCTGCCCGCTTCCCGGCGCTCCCGCGTTCCCCGCTCCCGCGTTCCCCGCTCCTGCGGCGCGGCTGCAGCGAGCGGCGCCTCCCGCAGCGCCGGCCCGC